TTCCAGTGGTTACTAATGGAAGTTACAAAGTAATTACTGGAGACGTAGTTGATCAATACACCATGACAGAGGGGATATAACAGTAGAAGAGCACTGTTTGACACTATTAGAACGAGGTATAAGTAAAGCAAACTACCAACTTAATCCGTCCCCATTACATAAGTGTTCGACCAAACTTGCGTCATGCATCCTGTATTACCCATCATCGCGCCCTGTATAGAGACTAGGTGGGGACCAGCAAATTCGCTCGTCACCATGCGCCCGAACACTGGGAAGGGTAGACTGGTTCCCGCCCCGTACGTAGTCTCCAAACGTCTTATAAACGTCCCCCGAATGTAGGAACCGGTAGCCGCTAATGAATCCGACAGAATCCTGCAGGGTGTATGTAAATGGTGAAACGATGCCTGCTCAATGCACAAATCAAGCAGGAGCAGATCACATATATTGCTTTTTCTTCTTCGTTACCGAAAATAACTTCACTATATATTGTTCATTTATCTAAAATTTCACGCAATAACCACTGATTTGAAATAAAGTGCCGTAAAATGATTTATCGACGGTAAACATTGAAATATAAATTACTTTGTGATCAAGAGAGACAAGGATAGGTACTTGTGTTTAAATTACCTCTCCTCGGAAACGTGTTCCATGTTAAGCATTGCAATCTGCCGGACAAAAACTGAAAATATTCAACATCCAAATTGATAGGGCTAATCGCACAAGTTAAGCTGCCGCGAGCTACCGGTCTTTATATGATAGGGACGGGGATCAGTCCCTGGGAAGGGCTGATGGCTTTGTCACTGTGATTTGCAATATTGTGCACGACCTGTTGTCGAAGTTATCACTTCCTGTTTTTAGCAAGGCGTTATTTAAAGTTTTGGTTCTCCAAAGGCAATGCTTTGACACGGACTAAGTGTCAGCTATGTGATAAAAAACATGGCTTTGGAACTATTACAGTGTGGTAATTTTCTCATAAGTATCACTGATCACGTGTCTTTTGGCGGTATATTTCAAATCATTGGTTATTTTCGTAAATTTTGGACGAAGGAATAAGTGTAGTGGGAATATTTTGAGCAATGAGGAAGAAAAGAAAACGTATGGAATTGATAACCGCCGCTTGCGCAACGCATTGAGCGAGCTCGCGCGCCTGGCAGAAATTTACCCACAATGCTATGTGTGTCGTTAGCTGTGACCCTGTTTGACGTATTTCCTTCACCAAAATCTGTGCAAGGCCGTCAGCCCTTCCCAGCGCCCTGTTCGGGCGCTAGGTGCCGAGCGAAGGCCATCAGCCGTTCCTTCTGGCGCTAGGTAACAAGCGAACGAATCCACCAACAAACACATACAACGCCCTCTGCCGATGAGTATCTACGCTCACTATCTACAGCCTTCTGTTGTATGGCGATGTATGGTTTCTTCGAGATGCATGACACATAATTCGTCGAGCCCACAGTGGATAAAGCATTCGTTTGAAAATGACGCGGCCAACATTGCCAGCTCTCATGACAAGTGTGCATGGAAAATACATGCAATAAGTGTGACGTTAAGATAGCAACGTAAAATATCCTTTGCTTACCTGTTCTGTACTTCTGACAAATTGAGTTAAGCCTTAAATAAGCGATTGCAATGCGGTGGGTATGAGCAAAATGTCCAAACTACGTTAAACACAAATTACTGAGCAGAGAAAAAAAAACGCTTTCGCTGTTCGGCTCTAGGATGCCAACAATGTGAAAGACAGAGAGATTCGTTGAGCCCGAATCCAGAATCGACAAATCGAGAAAAAGACCCGATGTGATTGTCTCGTAACTTATTAGCAAATAAAAACTCATCCATTCACGAAAATCACCTCAGTATTAACCCCCAAAGTTAGTCGGTTCTTAAAATACTACGATACGCACCTGGACATAAAGTAAGCTGCTGACCTAATTGTTAATAGTCGATATAATGGATAGTATTTCCAAATAAACGAATAAATAATGCCACTTTCACATTTACAATTGAAATGAAAAGAAGATGCTATCAGTGTTATCACTGAAACATGTTGAGAAGTAATCCTTTTACTGAACAGCAGCATAAACTCCCTTTTAAGTGTTTGTGTTATTTGGAGCACAAAGCCCAAAGGAATTAAATTGACACTGTCTAGCCATTTCTTTTCAAAGTTACAATACCAATAGCTGGTATTTTATGTTTAAGAATCGACAATTTTGTTTTGCTTGGTAGAGACTTAGCAGTGGTATTTCCAGGTGTTGGGTCGGTGGGAGCGGAACAGATTCTCTTCCTAAAAAATGACTGGTCCCTTTTTTTCCCCGTAAAAGAATCTTCAACCCCCACCCCCATCCCAGGTGTGATAATACGTTTTCTCAAAAATCCTGGCATCTAAAATTTCTTTAAAAGTCGGCAATACACTGCAGTGTACAAAACGTGGGCATACCAAAAATATTTCGTCATCGACATAAGTGGTTTGTCACTTCGATTAACTCATGTTTGTATTAACTACTTTCTTTCCATTAACATGTGGTAACTAACCGTATTTTGTTGGCAAGCCCTTTTGTACGCTCCTCTATTACGTGCTTGTTTGCTTCGCTTGCATAGTTGCAAGTGACGTCGATAGATAGGAGACTTCAAGCCACAGTGTCATTTAGTGGGCTAAGAGATCAGTAGCATTATACCGTTACTGACCTTGCTGGGTTGGGTAGAGAATGTTATAACTGGAGGCAGAAAACCTGGCAAAATTACTCAGACCACTCGATAAAACATTCAAATTAATGTTACATGTACAACTACGGGCACACGCGGGAGACATCTCCGCCCAGTGCATACTAATGATGCAAAAGCACCGTGCTTGACGGTCACGCTACATTACACACGGAGAGTTTTGAAAATCGACGGCGTGCAGCATTATACATTTTCATTTATGTATAGAACCAAGGCGTCCAGGGGCTTTGTGCGCAGACTTTCGTAAGGTTTATCGGTGGCCGTCAGAATAATAAGCCTTCTAAATATTTCCCTGAATAGACGCCTGCAGGGGCAGAACTAAAAGGACATGAGGACATGGCCCCTCCGTTTGAGGCGTGTGACGGCTGTGTACCCCAACTCAGAAATTGGACACAGAAAAGTCTGTGTTTTACCGTTTATGAAAACGTGGTATTCAGATGCTAATGTGCCCCTTTCGGGAAATGAGGGCGTCCAAGTGCATCCCACCGCATTGCAGTAATACGCCACTGGGCCCAATTTTGTGTAGCAGCTTTAACGGCCTTAGCCTAGTAGAAAACTCGTGCTTATCGTAGGCCTATATAGCATATAATTTTGCTAACTGTCTGGCGGTGCTACTTGTTGAGCACGCATAGAGATTTCCGTTGTTAAATCACTACTTCGAGCAAATTTTTCCTTCGAGGTTAGCGTGCCTGTTGCTGCTCTTTCTGCTTACGGTCTCCATGAAATACACGGAACTCGTGTTGGCGTAGAATTGTTGCTTAGCAGCGCCGTGAATTGATCCTATGGTAGGCCTATCATACGCTTCTGTTTCAACGGAGTTTTTCTGAATGTGTACAGACCTCAACTTTCACGTGACCTAAAAGCAGATATTGTGTCGAATCGTCAGAGGATATTGTCTTACTAGCATAATGGCCAGAACAAGACGGAAAGTTCCTAGCTCAAAAATAAGAAGAAAAGTAAGAAAGAACTTATTAAGATGAATCTTTCTTGTGCTGAGGATTGCCACGAAAAGAGCCCCCGTTGAAAAACTTTCAAACAAAATTTTTAAAGATCTCTCTTATTCTGGTTTGCTTTACTATGCATTTTATCATGCCCACCACTCAGAGAGGGCCCATTTCTTCCGCACGCCCGTTTAGTTGAGTCAAGGGAAATCTATACGGCAAGAGAATACAAGCTGCATCCGTGTTCGGGGGCGTTGGGCTGTAAAGTTAATTATTGGCATTTAGGGAAGACACTTTTGCATTTCATGGTGACAAATGCCCTTCATCCATGACTCCATGGAGGGAGTCCATGTCTGTTTGTATTAGCGGATCAAGAGGGCCCGTATCCGCCCCTACCAATATTTTGCTTTGTTAACGATTTTTTTTTCATTTCTCTCTTTGTCTATTCTTCCGTTGTCCTCGACTGGTCATTTAATAATTTAAATATAGAAATATGGCCCACTATATTCGGGAGTACCTCTATTTGGAGTGCCCCATTGTAAATTCTTGCCCCCCCCCTTTTGTAAATGCTGAATCCTCCACTGGCTAGCCCTATATCTTGTAACCGTCTCACCTTCCTCCGCTATCACTCCACTCTATGATCTGTCTCTGTACATTCACCAAGAGCATATGTGCTGCAACCGAGTCTTGGTACAACTCTATCAAAGTGAGAATACCTCCGTGAAAAATCTAATTATGTCATCAAAGCTGGCAAGGCAGCCGAATTGAGAGTGGTCTACTTCTCTATTTTTATCGATACATAAGGCAAACCACGTGTAGCGCATTTTGCTCAGCAAATCGATTGCGTTGCCTCATCGATGGGCATGGATCGTCGCCCGGCACGCATACTTTGCTCGCTTGTGCGCACCGCATTGCGGGCCCGGCCCACTGCAAGTACGTGAAAGCGAGATGTACGGCTTTTTCCCCTCTCCCCTGCGTGAAGTACTTTGGACGCCAAGGGCTCCCAGACAAAACTTCTTGAAACTCACAGGTGTATCGGGTTGAGTCAGCCGTAAAGGAATCTTTCGCTTCCTGTCATTGCTAATGACCAATCGATTACGTAGGGCGAAAAAGGGGTTTCACTCAGTTCGTTCTGTCCGTCGCTGCATGAGCTTTTCACCTGCGGCACGTCTGCGCTGCCCGCTTCAGTATGCAAACGAGTTGCATGTCTACCACGTATTGTGCGTGCACAAGGCGTAGACATACCCCGCTGCTATACCGTAGACGATTTGGAGCGAGTGCGGTGCGTGACCAAATGCGCGAAGCGATTGCGCCGTGGTTATAGCTGCAAGTTTCGACACCACTGTCCGGCCGCACTGTCAACATTTCACACAGTTGCAGCATTTGGATTTGGGAGATTCCCTCATTCGCACTTATTTGTGCTCACTGTAAACAGACCAGCGAGATTTTGTTGTTTTGGGAAATCTTCAGCAAGACTGAAGATTGATGACAGCCTGGCATCGCTTGTTATATGCTAGCTAAAACAAACCAAACCTTGTAGACCAGTTTTCTAGAGCAATATCGTGTGCCAGGAAAGGGGAAAATAATAAATCTGTCGGATTACGACCGGCCAAGTTAAGCTTGGCCTCGTTCATCAAGTTTCTGTGCGTGGTTGGTATGTCTTTCGGCAGTGTGACGCTTACAAGACGCGTCTCGCTTGGTGAATTTTACATACCAAGATGTGAACTTAATGCCAGCTCCCCAAGGGCGGTGGTGAGTATATTAAAATCTTTGTGTTCAACGTTGTCTGACACTGCGGTTCGATAATGAGGGGAAAATACACACTTATGTTTTAAAATCCTTCAAAGAAAAAAGTGGAATGGAAATCGAATTAGTTTATCATCCACTTCATAATAATTGGAAATGCGTGCATATTGAGTGTGCGAGTTGCACTGTCATTGGTAACCATGGCGACAAGTATCACTCGTCACAGTTTGAGAATGTCAGCACTGTTATACTGTTACCAGCTTCCGCCTTGTTACCAGTATTTCGACTTGAAAGTGATTGATGGGAAGTTGACGCGGACTATGCTCCACCGCATCAGTCATCCGCTGTGATTATAAGATTTGTAGATTAGATTTTGCACGAGACGCTATAGTAACACGCACGCATGTCCAGCTTTAGTGTACGTGGGTTAAAACCTCCAGGAAAACTCAGAACTCAGAATTTTCAATAGTATTATTGTGTTAATTTGTATGTTCAGTTTAGAACTAAGCTTGGCAATGGTGTGCCACTTAAGAGTCTTCCAACCTGACCGCGAACCAAATAATTATGAAAAAGATTTTGCATCTGAAAGCTTCATAGGCCTATGTAGATGATCTGAAACTAGTACAAACGGCACATGCAGGCTACCTTTCATTACGAAATATACGAAAATGATGGTTCTTTGCCACTCGTGAATATATCGGTTCAGAGTAAAACGAGATATCATCATGCAGCAACTGGTGCATTTTATCCTTCATCGAGGATTGCGATCCTTTCATTAAACGTTTTTTTTGTTCGCCTGTCTATGGATCTTCCCGCGCCGAAAGTAAGACATCGCGAAGCCGTAAAAGCGCATGACATTATGCAAGCACCCCCTTCGTGCTTCGAGGTAACAAACATATCGATAGTCGCTTTTCAAGGCGAAATGATGAGTCCGGCTGCCACATCCCAAGGCAGAAGTACTTAAGGCTTGCAGATAAACTTCGGATGCAGCCTTCAGGTGGGAGTAAGCCGCAGGCTGTTTAATAGGTATTTCCGTCTTCACACTTTTTCATTGCTGATAGTGTCCTGCAATAAGCATCCCAATTTTTCATTTCTCAGCTTCAATCTAAAACCACTGAAAATAAGATTACTAAAGTTCTTGAAGCTGAATTCCTCGTGTGCAGACAGAATCGTAAACAGACAGAATTGTTACGCAACCAGCAGTGCGTATACATCGTGGTGTTTAACTAACCGAGCTCTACGTGTTAATATACAGATTTTCAACGATTTCAGTTTTAAAAAAGTCGTTTTTAGAAATACCGCATGAAACAGTGCCGTTATTTTTAACGGCCCTCATCAGCCTTGCACAAAAGGATTTTAATTGATGCGAGGCCATTATACAGTACATGTAGTACATAAAGGTTTAATGAAAACTTTTGCAGAATCGAGAATTATGTGACTTGAACCATTCAATCATTATTACTCGATTAAGATGCTCGTTTACGATAAACAGCGATAGAAAGTTCAAGTTCGCGCGCCTGTCACCCACACAGTCACGGTCAAGTGTACGGTCAGATGTTCCGCTGGCATGAATCTGTACCTTCGATGTGCACTCTCTTTTAAATTCTGAAGTAATGAAAATACCAACAGTATAACTTAAGAAATTTAAAAATCCTTGTTTGGTTTTCTCTTTTGTAACTTGCTTTCGTTTGTCAGTCTATACTGGAATATCATACATGATTGTTAATATAGATCAATTAATGATGGCAACTGATTGAGTCTGTATGGCGTAACTGCATGTACAACTCTACTTACCCTCTCTATTACTCAGATGAATAGAAAGTACATTTCAAATCATGTTTTCTTACTATAGGTTTTCCCGGCCGAATTCGTCATTTTCCCAGTCAAATACGTAACTGGTTGCTCCCATATTTCTTTTTCCTACGGCAGTCTTCAAATTCGTTTACAGGCGTCGAATGGTGTACTGTAACAAATTCAATTGAAAACTAGTTTCATTCAATTGAAGAGTGCATAACCGTCATTCGATTTCGCGCTGGATGACTGGAATGAAAAATTCCTCCCGAATTTTACTTTCATTTTCGACTATGGGCAATCATGTTCGTATTTTGAGCCTTCAAATTTGAAAACCTCAAGGCAACAGGAATACACAGCAAATTAAGAAGCGTATAGAACACAAGGGGGGTTATAAATAGAAAAAACGCTAGAAGTGTGTCCCACGCACTGACTTGAATGTACGTGTATATTTTTATATACCTCAAACAAATTGCACATCAAGAATACAGTACATTTGCCCGTTTAATCAAAATGTAGAAATGAAACTCTCCTTGGACCTTCATCACGGATGCTGAAACCAAAATCCTTAAGATGCAGTTTACTGATCTGTAATTTCTTTATTTTATACACAAGAAACGCATCCTCCAAAATGTGCACGAATACTAAGATTTTTTGGATTCCCTCAAACAATGGCTTATTTTTTCTTTAATGTCATGGTTTTAAGTTATGCTTTTGCTTTCATGTTTCATTCTATTTTTATCATCCTTTTTAGACATTACTTTCCCCACTTTGTCAATTTATGTGATATAAAGAATTAGAATTTCACTTTGCATTTTTATAAAGATCTCAAACCAAACGTTTCTTTTCGTGGAAACATTTTGCATAAATTAGTTACAAAGAAAAAAACGAATTAGAAGATTTAACGTTTATGAATAATACTGCACGAATCTCACAAATGCTTGCTGATTCACGAAATTGAACGCCAAAACACATACCGCAGGAGTGTCCAAGCGAATTTGTACGCTTGTACATGTTTTCGAAATCGAATACTTACTCTTCAGTTTTTGAATAACAATGTGCAATCACATGCTCTTAGAATGAAATTGAATGATCAGTTTTCTCTTTGAATGGTGATCTAGATCGTCAATCTATTTCGTGCTAATTTGAATGAAACTGTAATTCGTGTGCGAAGATGATGAATTCGGCCGGGAAACCCTGTAACAAACTCACATTTCTGAATTAACGCTTCACCTCTTCACCGAGAAATGAATGATCAGTGAATGACAGAGGAGGACCCTGCTTTTTCAATGCCACATTTACCGGCCACACAAGGCGAACATGCCTCAAAGTAGACCGAAGTCTAACACTACTGTCTTGATTTAAGCTGCAAACAAACGGAAATTGAGGAGTGAAATTCTAAACCGGTTTTTGCAATTAAGCCTTCACGAAGTTGAAGTATATTTCCTTTGATATAAGGGTGAAATTAATCTAAAAAGTTGTAAAAGAAATTGGCTGTTTCGTGAATTGAGTGGATGTGCACTGTATTCTTGGTTTGGGGTGTTATTTATTGGTTTTGGGGTTGTTGTTTTTTAATCTTTTTTGGAGAACATTTCTTTGAAAGCTTTATTCTGCTATTGGAATTTTGTGGTATAAGGGAAATTATGTCCTTGTTTTTTAGGACTTAATTTAGTGTGACTAAGTCGTCTATGTCGCCATGAAACTCGCTTGGATTTAATAGAAAGAAAAAACCGAACGTCTATGAAGAACACGAGGGAGACCAATTAGGAACTGTACCTGACAGTATCTGACTAAGACTTTATACCGGTGAAAATGACGTGACTTTTTTAAGGGATGTCAAGTTTCGCCCCAATCCGTCGTGGGAATTAACGGTTCATCCCCGACTTTGCGGATCAGAGAAGGGATTTTGCGCTCCCTGGTTTCACTTTCAACGTAGCTTAATTTGAAATACGATGGCCTGTGAACTAGCTCAAACCATAGTGGACTGAGATGCTGGAGCCAGTACCGTAGCAACTACCCTACCCGTCTCCAGTGGTGTGACTCCGTGCCAGACTGGATGCATGTATAGGGGAAGACCAAAGTCCGACAAAATTGCCTGCAGTCGTGGAAATTTGAAAAGCGAGGTTGGAATTGGGCGGAGTTAGACACAATATAACACCGAGGGCACTGTTAATGATAGAGATGTACACCACATGTGCAACCTTACATGATTCAATATTTTGCATTTGAAATTTCCATACCGATGCTCCACTTTGGCCGTTGGAACTTTCGAAATGACCTCACAATTCGCACCTTTTCTATCTCATTTTACATAAGACTGAAGAATAATAAAAATCGCCTGTCCCCCTCGTCAAAATGTGGGGGATTTATTCTACAATACCAGGATTTACGTTCACGCCCTGCACCTCCAATTTGTTCTTCGTTTTTTACCTCGGCACTTTCTAAACAGCGCTGCGTTAATATCCGTGAAAATCCGTCGACATTACACCTGCGTACATTGTGAATAATACACCCAAGACATGTAATAAAACTGTGCACTTTTTCATAAAAGGTAAAACGTTACCCTGAAATTGATATGTGAATTACTGAGGATGAAATGTTTTACATGCTGCTCCATCGTTAAATCTCATTTTGTGGGGCACAGCAGCCATTTAAAGATCATGTTTCGTTATGTCCACCGTGCTATAGGTCTATGTTTTGCATTAAACCATGAACATCCGACATCGTCACGAAGATTTCAGAAGTAGAGCCATTGTGATCTCACCCGTTTAGGGAATGATACACGTTTTTAACAAAAGGGAGGGGTACTACTTTGCCTGTTTTAAAAATTGTAGCAATAGCCATCGACTGCGAAAGATGGAAATTTCAGCCATTTGGAAACATGGCCTGTCCTGTTAATGAGATATATATATCTCAGGGTATGTGATGGTGGGATCTGCCCTTCATATCGATGCAAATATCACAATCAACATGTTTTATTCATTCACACAACTTCAATTAATGTAAGATGGGTTGCGATGCTCAATAGGCCCTATCTTACTTTGCGAATTCCGCCTGGCAGACTTCATGTACCTGAGAATGGCACATTTACTGGGGGGGGGATTGCAAAGTTGATAACGCTCACTTGAACAACTATTGTTATCGGTAATATTCTAATTGCAGAGTAGAAAATGTGAGAGTGAATGCAGTAGCTCATGGATAATCGACAACCGAAC